ATAAACAGTTCCCTTTGCCAGCCAGTGTACACCAGAATCATCATTTACTTTCAAATTATTCAAGTCAGCAGAATCCATCTTTTCATCAGTCCAGTGGAAAGATTGGCAGAGGTTCTCAAAAGTGGGATTATGGTAAGAAAAAAGTTACTCTTTTCTTAACAGTTCAGTGCCTTAATTTCATAAACTCATAGTTATTCCTGCTTTCTTCACTGACAGAAACGTGTGTTTATTCCTGCTAGCAGGGTGCGCTCATCAGCTGCAGGAGGGGGAGCTGCATTCTCTGCAAAATGCACAATCATAAAAAATATCCAATAAATCCAAGATGCAGAATATTTGCTACTGGATGTGATAACTGACAAAGAAAGAAACTGACTGAGTTTTGGACTACACTAATATTGATTATAGTTTTAAACAGCAGGAAAAATCTGATTGGGATTTAATGAGAAATAAACAGTCTTAGCTACTTTTTGCACAAATTTTAACAGTAAATTTGAGGATGAGCTATTCATCTCTTTGGCTTTATATGCTGATGAAAAAGGAGCTGACTGGGCACAAATCAGGGCTAATGTTTGCTCTAGATCTGGCAGAATGACGTGGCTGCTCAGAGGCAGTGCATGGTGGCTTCAGCATACAGCTCAGAGTGAGGGAGCTGAGCCTCAGAGCCCTCCGGCACAGCAGGAGGCCCCGGCTCAGAAAATCCTTCAAGATTTCACAACCTGGAACAAGTGAACAGTCCTCTGGTGGTGTTATTATGTGCCTTGGGTTATGCAAGTGCTTAAGTGTTTTGCTGGATAGGTGCCCTAATCTCCCAGTATCTTTTTATCCTGTCTTTAAAACAATAACAACTATTCCTACATCGAGAAGGAAAAGAATTGATTTAGTGATGATTGCAGAAAAGAGGAGGTCTGTAAATACTAAAGAAAATAACCCCAAAGCAGGGGAAACAGGCAAGTGTGTGAAATAACATCCTGGGATGCTAATTTTGTAAGAGGCAGTTCTGTTTCAGGAAGTGTTAAACTGCCACCCTCTCTTACTCTGGCTGATCATGTTCCTTTAAAATGTAAAGCTACCTGGTAAACCCTGCAGGAAGATAGCAGTCAAACAGGAGTCAAGTGGACTGTGTTCCTCACACATAATGAATAGATGCCTTCACATCTCAGAAAGGCCTTTGAAAGCACTGGTGTCCTATTTGGCCTGAAGAACCAGAAAAGATTTTCTGAATAACAGGCTGACTTTCCAGGATCAGAAGTTTAAAAACACATCACTGGCTCTTCAAATATAGCCAGGTATTAGCATGTTACCTTGTGAGTGACCCCTGGGGGGGATATTTTTCTCAAAATTACTAAGACAAATGAAAATTGGAACATCGGTAACACTGTTAGATTATACAGCATTTAGAATTAAGATGAAATAAAAACTAACATAAGAAAATGTACTTATTAATTCAATACTACTATTCCATAAACCACAGGCTGTTAATTCAGACAGGAGATGTAGTTGTAGCCTAATAGAGAAAGGGGAATGTTCTACCATGTGCACCAGCTGAACCATTGTCATCTTTAATTGCTGCTGGTGGAGAAGTCCTGCAGCCTTTTGCCCATTCGGCCCTGGGTTACCTCCCCTTCCACATGTTGGCTCAGGTGCTCCATTTCCTTTTGGCAACCTGACTCTGAAAATGAGAAATTCGGGGGAAAATACAGGAAAATAATGTTTTCCAGTCCTTATATGCTTAGGCTGCACACAGCGATTTGCCCAAATTTTTCTGCATGGAAATTTGACAGCAGCTCTGTGTTCATTGTGCTACTTGGACATTCCTTTAATAACTTACAGGGAGATGAAGGCCTTTAAAAATCAGCTAAAAATATCCTGATGGATAGTTTTTCTTTATTTCCATTAGCCTTTCCAGTTCAACAAATTTTGTGCATCATTACCAACCCCAACTAAAATCAATGGTTGTAATTGAGACGCAGTGAGCCAGTGCATCTCCCATGACCCATGACAGGCTTGTGCCTGACAGGACTGCCAAGGCAAAGTGGGTGCACAGCAAATTACCTCCCTCAAATACAGCCAGGTATTCAGCCTGCTCTCTTAGGAGTGATTCAATGTAGAACAGCTCAAGCTAGTCATTGAAACAATGTCATGCTTTCTGTATAACATCATGGGCCATGAAACTCTAGAAAACCTCTTTTATGTATCTTCTACTGTGTTTCTTTACTGGTTGATCATTAGTGAAGACAAAATACTTCTCATTTCTCTTCCATTCAATATGTTGCTATTGCTTTAAGCTGTCAGCTACACTAGCAAACACCATGATTTGGTTATCCACATTAACAGGGATTATTTCTTATCAGGAGAAAGTCTACTTTTTCAGAACAATGGGAACAAGGGCCTCATATGACAAATCAAGTTGTAGCTGACTGTGGGGTTCTTGGGAAGCTTGGCCCTGTGCAGCAGGATAGAGACAGCCTTCAGCCTTTGTAGTCACATCAGTCACCATGCTGTCTCAATATAAAATGCAAGCAGGTTGCTTTTGGAAGGGTATTTCTCTCAAATAAATAAAGCTGTGTGCAAACATGAGTCTGAAAGAAAAAGAAACGTCCTGTGGGATTTTTGAAGTCCTCTCAGTTTGATGCCATTGGATTAGCTTCCTATCAGCAAAGAAAAATTAGCTCTATTTGTGCAAGTTTGGACCTTCCAGAGAGTTTGCTCATGAGGAGGTGTGGGCATGTGGAATGCTGCTGGCTGACAGATAATATATTTGAAAAAAGACTTTGAAGTTGAGTTGAATAGACCATACGTCAGATACTCAGAATCACTGTGGCTGTAAGTTCAACTTGAAAAAAATAAGAAAGGTATTTTACTATCAAACATATATTTTCTACCCAGTCTGAAGCATTTCCCAATTGGTGGTGCTTTCAGTCTTCTACATAGTACTATGGGTAGATGTGTGCCACAAGAATGGATGGAGAGTACAAGATTGGCTCTGCTTTACATTCTTTATATAGAGAAAGCACAAACAATCATGGTAAATAATAATACTGGTAAGCATGGTAAATAACAGTGACCAGTTTTCATTCTAATTTACTGTTGGAACATACTTGACTCAGTTTTGTCTTTGTGGTATTTTAAACCAGGAAGAACTCCATGTAAGGCAATGGGGACATTTGGGTTGGAAATAAAACAATGGAACAAAACTCATTGGAACTGTATACATCTTTGAAAAATTAGTTTAAAAAAAATTTCACAGTCTTGGTTTCTTTTCCCCTCACCATATAATACTGCAAGTTTTAGTTTGGGAATCTGAATTCAAGATTCCAAAGCTAAAATAGGGCAGAAATAGAGAAAAAAATGGCTGACAACTTGAGCTCGATCATGGTTTTCAAAATCTCAGAGCCAGCAGCAACACCTGCTTTTGAGAGGACTACAATACAGTCCTTAGATTTCTCCTCACCTCTGGGATTAAGAAATATTTTGGCATGAAGTGCACATGTGGAACAGATGCCTGATGACCTCTGCTCCATGCAATGCACCTCTGTGGCTTACAAGAAAGAGCAAAGACTCTGCATGTTCCCTAAGCTTACCTACACGTGCATTTTAAATCTCTGGTTTTTTTGTAAAGTTATTTGTGTGACAAAAAGATAACCAACAGCAGGTACTGCACAACACCTACTTTCTGTGGACTATCTCATGTTAGACTGGAAAGAAATCTCTGCCTGTTTTGCTAGAATTGCCTGTAAGGGTTTATATGTTGAGCCACTGCCAAGAACACATCACTGTGTTTCTTTGTCCTTCTTAGATACCTAGTGCTACTTCTAAAAGAAAGGAATTAACTAAAAGAAAAAAAAACAAAAAACCAAAGTATTTGCTGGAACAAACTGGGTGATCTTGTTCTCTCCTTTAATTAAGATTCTTTTTTTCCTGGTTGCTCTGAAGAATCTGCTTTATTATGTCTAGTAGAAATTATAAAATTTTTCATTTGTATTTTGTTTTCTTTTACTAGACTATTGCAGACATATTTTCTTGTTTTTTCTGTAAACATATCCACTAAGAGAAAGTCCTTCTTTGACCTGTTCTGGACTCATTCAAGTTTTATTGACTTATCATTTCAGCATAAGTCACCTGCACATGATTTATCCACCTACAAAGGTAGTTTCTACTACTATTTGCTAATATTTTGCCTTTCAGTTGAAGCATGGAAATACAATAAAGGAAAGGAAAACATACAGAGGCGTTCCTTCTCTCACACTGCTTTTACCAAGGCAGGCTGCAAGTCTTGTTCTCCTCTCACCCATCCCAAGAACTCCCCCAAAATTTGCTATTCAGGCGTTCAAGTTTTAGGCTGGCAGAATGCCAGTAAATTCATTAGTGGCACACTGGATAATAGACCAGACCCAATCCTCAGGGATTTAAACAACATTTTCACAGTAACATTTGATGGCTAGAAGAAATTAAACTCTGTCTGGCCTGAGCTGTCTCAGGGGGTCCAAGTACCCACATGTAGTAGATAATATAATAAACTATTACCTCCCCTCATAGGCAGCTTTGGGAGACCAGATGTCTCTTGCTTTAGTAGCTATCTGCAAATTGAAGTGTGCAAAGCTAACATATTTTTACAGTCACCTCACTACTTACTTTTGGGATTTGACTTTTGGCTGAAATTATCAGGTTCCATTAATCTGAAAACCTCTTAGCACTGAAGTGAACTGAAAACAAGAATCCAAACCTCTTTTTACTAAGTAGTTACTTGGGAATCCACCTCACTTTTCTTGTGCACCTGCAAGTACAGCTTTTTTTGTTTGTTCTGGAAACAAATTTTAAAAATAAAAAAAGAAAAAAGAAAAAAAAAAAAAAGAAAAAAGAAAAAAGAAAAAAGGAATGAAAATGAGAAACATAAGACACACAAATGCTTTGTAGAACATGCCCTGAAATGGGAAAGTGCCTGTACCAATAAACCACGGCTAGTGACACCAGATTGTTCCCACCCACGGGGCTGTGTGGAGATGGCTGGGGATGCTCTGGGACAGCTCTGGGTCACTGTGATGAGTCGCCACTGTACAGGGTACGGCTGGCCCGTTCACAGCTGTGCAGGACACTGCTGGCTGGGGCACTGCCGTGCAGGTCGGTCCCGCGCAGGGCATGGCTGGCTGTGTGCCACCACTGTGAAGGACATTGCTCTGTGGCTCATCACTGCCTGGGACACTGCTGCACAGGACATGGCTCTGTGAGAGGGACATCATCATGTGAGACATTGGTGTGGGGGTCACTGGAGTGTGGGACACGGTTGAGTGGAACACTGCTGTAAGAGTCGTCACCATGTGGGAGACACTGTCATGGGAGGACATGGAAGGTCATACTGTGTAAGTCCCTGCACTGTGGGGGATGGCAGCGTGAGTCACGGTGTGCAGGCCATCCTTGTACAGGACACACTAAGAGACTTATACCTGTGGGGGTCCTGCAGTGTGGGACACGGTTCTTGCTGTGCAGGACATCCTGATACAGGCCATCGCTGCGTGGGACATCGCCAGCTGTCCTGCCATGCGGACCCCACGGGAAACACCCAGCACCTGGCAGGGCACCCCCGGGGACACGTACCCGCCCCAGCTGCCGCTGCCCCCGCACCCCGAAGCTTTGGCACGGCAGCTGTGCCGCTGCCCGACCAGGCAGGGCAGGGCAGGGCAGGGCAG